AAACGACAGGGTCTGGGGATCGAGAGGTTTATCTGCTGTTGAATAGAACGGCATTTTTTCAGAGCAAAATCATAGATTATTCAATAACCACTCACACCCTGCTCATTAACTTTGTCATCTACAAGACATTTGGAGTGTCCAAGGCCAATTTCCCAGCCTTCCTGTTTCAGGGTGAGCTTTCCCAGGTAATTTTATTCATTTTATTACTATTTATAGTTCACAGTCTTTAATTTACAGAGACCATGTCAACCTTCTCCCTTCCTCCCTCCAACAATACGATAAGAACTAACGGGAGTGTTGCCCGTTTCTTTCAGAGCTGGCAGGACTGTAACAAACCCCCACTCCCTTGCTGAAGCTCTCCAGTGACCTGCTCAAGAGAGGGAGGGACTCTAGAAAGGGGTACGCAAAGGAGAGCGTCTGAGGATTTACCTCTTGCAAGACTGCACTCTTCTCCAGGTGCTGGAATGGGTTGGAACCCCCACCTGCAAAATAAAGAGAGTAAAAGTCTTTCCAGGGACAGCGCTATGGAAAAGCAACTTTCTAACCATGCCCATACTTTAAAAACAGACTGAGCATTTTGGGATAACTTTTTCGCGAACACCAAGCAACCAGGGCTCCCTCTTTTAAGCGATATTAATTGGATGTCTTCACAGCAGTTAGGGAAGGCTGAGCAGACAGGACATTCTTCGATTTGTCATCCCCCGCAGAAGTAACCAGCCATGAGCCAAGGTAGGCTGATGAGCTGCAAAGTAACCGCGCTCCACTGTTATCCCCACAGACCTATTTCCAGCCCCTGGGCTGGGAGCTTGCTGACAGTTCGAGCATCAATAAGACAGGCCTAGAAACAAAAGCTCAGACAAAGAGAGGCATCGCTTGCCAGACTGGTGAATCAGGAGTGCTTTATCCCTCCCTTATAAACCAATCAGAAATCCACCAGTAAAGTATTTTTGGCTCTATCACTAATTAAGAGAACAAGACAGCGAACTAGAGAGTCTGGACACAGAGTAACTTTCATTGTTCCACTTAATAAATAAATTATATTAAATAATTAAAAACCTCACCAATTAAGGATGAAATAATCAGAGGGAAAAGCACTATCATTCTGCACGGTCTCTATTAGCTCGTCTCCTAAGCATTTGTGAGCTGCAGCTTTTCAAAAGCTGCCAGTTATTGATAAGCAGGTTTTAATTAGTACCTATGTTCAGCCTGGCCCTGGGACAAAATACAGCCATTTCCAGCGCTGTTCCAACGTTTAACAAGCCTGATCCGCTAGAGAGCACAGCTCCGGTCTGACCTGCGCCTGAAGCATCCTATGCTGGTGCCAGGAGCCTTTGCACGAGTAAGTCTTAAACTTAAAGGCAAACACATCTGCACCCTGGCTCCTTTCCAGTTCAGAAACTGCCCTCCTCTGGCTCAGGAGAAGTTTGCAAATGCAGTAGGTGGCCAGACAGAGGACAGACACTTGGGGAGAGAAGAAAACATGGGGAAAGAACAAAACCAATGTCTCCAGTATGACTATGAACCAGTTCTAGTATGAGCATGTGAATGTGCTCCAAAAAAACCTTCCTAGCAGCACAGCATTTCCCATGGCCCAGCACGACTACAATCCCTAAATCAGCCATCAACAACAGAGCGTCGCCTCTTCGTCTTTCGTAGCACTAAGGATCTTGAAACATATTGCACATGAGGTCTTGGTCCTCACAGCACCCTGTGTCTAAGTATTTTTCCATCAGAGGAGAAAGAGACGCAGGAAAGGCAGAGGCTGCGTGTTCAAAAAGCTCCTAGTATTGGGTGACTAGCCACAATTTGTACTGATTTGCAGAGAAACAGTCACTGACGAGCAAGGATCTCGGAACAATGATCTGCCCAAAAATAACATCTCAAAGTGCGTTTCTGAGAGCCAGTGCAAGCAGCTCATCCAAGACTACCTAAAACATCCAGGAAAAGCAAAGAAACAGAAGGCAATTAAGTGGACACACTCAACTCAAGAAAAAGTCTGTCCTGTTAGCCTTTACGTGGAAAGAATGGGTATAAAAGACCTGTAAATTCAGCGATGATGCCCTCCACCTAAGGCCGAGAATGACAAGCACTCAGGCTATACGTTTTGGACATATACACAATCCACAGGAGAAAGGCAGGTGCAGTAAATCCTAGGAATCTTTATTCGAAACAGAAGCAACAGGATGGGAAGTAAAGGCAATAGCAAAGAAAAAACGTTGGGAAGCATGCAAGCAGCAGTGCCAGAAAGGAGAGCTCTGTGAGCTCTCAGTATGAACAAAATCAACAAGAGTCAGCATCATCATACAAGGAAGCACATCTCCTGCCAGCCCTGGCCACAGGTAATGCAATACCTTGAAGCGTGCAGCGGGTGCAAATGAAGAATAGCCCCAAAAATGAAAGCCAAGAGCGATTCCCCTCCAACAGTTGCCTCACTAAATTCTCCGCTTATCAAGACGTCACTGGAGGCTTTGGACAAGGGAAACAAGGGCAAAGCATTTAATGCACATTAAAAGAAAAAGCAAGCACAGTCACATAGAACAACCATTACGATTTACGCTGAATCAATTCGTGTCAGGACGCACTGATTTGTTATGCAGAACAAGCTGTGTAGAAAGCTTCATAGAAAGATGAAAAAGATACCACAAGGCACAACCGTGAAAATAAACGCCATCATATCTAGCCTCGATTCCACCTGAATTACACACCACGTAAAATATCAACCTCTTCCTTGCTACTCAGGCCTGAAGTTTTGAAAGGTCAAGCAATCACTTCGTGTTTCGTCGGTGCTCTCAGCCTTTCAGACTAAAGCTGGCAGCAATCTTGTTGGAATACCAGACCATGTGTGTCAGAAAAACAGCACTAGAAATTACAAATTGGATTCTACCCTGCTTTAGCACCTGGCTTGAGAGTTGGGCAACTGTGAACAGGGCTAATATGCTCAATATTGGTCGCAGACTCTGCACCTGCAGCAGGTAACGCAGGTGTGCTGGGCCAACGCAACAGGTTTAGCCTCTGGTTGCAGCAGCGAGGAGGAGGGCAGCAAGCTGCTCCAGTGCCCCCACGGTGCTTCCCACCGCGCTCCTGTGCGCACAGCCAGCCCCTGCTGCCACCCTGGTACCGAGCCTCCCCTCACTGCTCCCCACTACCCACAGGGGGGTCTCCCCTCACCGCTCCCCCCCCCACTCACAGGAGGGGTCTCCCCTCACCGCTCCCTCCTACCCACAGGAGGGGTCTCCCCTCACCGCTGCCCCCCCTACCCACAGGGGGGGTCTCCCCTCACCGCTCCCCCCCCCCCCCACAGGA